AACTTAAACCTGTGACCTTGCCATGCATTCCTCTGCTCCTTGCTAGTGCCTACCTAACTCGAGGATTTGTTTCTGTATCCAAGGACACCAGTAATATTGGAGCAGGGCTTACCCTAACAAGCCCATTTTAGGTTGGTTACCTCTGTTAAGACCTTATTGTCAAATGAGGGCCCGTTCCGAGTTACTACTGGGTGGAACTCACAGGTGTCTTTTGTGAAGGACGCACATCAAACTCCTAACAGGCAGCAAGTTGCACCTTTAGGTGGGTGAGCAGGGGCTTTGCTGCAGAGCAGGAGCCATTCCTCCCCTCAGTTCCATTGCTGGTGTTGGCCAGGGCTGGAGGAAAGACCCTCCCCAGAGGGCAACAGTGGCCACTGATGGCAATCTGTCTTCCTGGATATATCCTTATTACCCCCAAGAAGGTCATTGTTTTTAGTCTGGTTCTTGGTTTTCAAACTCTAGGCTGTACATGTGTGATGGGTGGCTCGCCATCAGTGCCTGGGAGCTCTGCATGTTCCGATTGTGCCTGGAGCCTCCCTACCCCAGGGTAGATGTAGAGGCGGGACACAAAGGCTGTCTGAGCAAGTTCTTATGCAAAGCAATCATCATCCCTTATTTTACAAGTTTCAGCTCCTGTTTTGAGCACAGTGTAAGAGGGAAGATGCTGAATCCCTGTCATTTGGTCTTCAACTCAGGAGGGAGCCAGTGATGTCCCTGTGGCTTGGGTGGTGCTAATTTCTCCCTCCTTGCGTCTCCCTAGGAAAATCCTTCTATTCTCTTATTTTCTGTTCCCAGCCATCTCTTTTCCAGGAAGGATTATTTAGGCCTCTATTTGTAATTGTTCCAGCTATATGGAGAGCTGGACAATTGACAAATAAAAATCATACACATTCAAAGCTGTATCTGTCTTGATCGATGGGAGCCCGGCCTCTCTTGGATCGTGCACCTGTATCTAGCAGAGAACGAGATTGCTGCATTGGAAAGCTACCACGGCTGCCTCTTTTCCTCTTGGTTCTTGTTGTCTTGGCAGGCCTGTACTCACAGTGCAGCATACCTGCTTTGGGTTTCTGTGTGTGTGCAGACCAGGGCACATGTTTGCAAGGTCTAGCCAGGTCTGTGCATTCTCTCCAGCTGGGGATGTATGACATGCAGCATGGGAGAGGGAGTTGGATGCCTCTATTTGCTGTTAAGGTCCCACTCATTGTACGGACCACTTGGCAGGAAGCCCATTGGATAAAGCTGGAATGGGGAACACTTTTGGTTTCTGTGTCTGTTCTGCTCTAGCAGAAGCAGGTGCCTGGGAGAAAAAGGAGAATGGTAAATGACTGAGAAGGTGACTAAGAGGATGGGACGTGAGCTGGAGGAAGGAAACATTTGTGAGATGCCGGAGGCCTCTGCCCAGTGATGATTCAGGACTCAGGTTCAGAGATTTGCACTCTCCACTGTTCCCAGAAGGCCCCTCACATATGCACTGTCACTTGTCGTGATGAGTTTCCCAGGAGAGATGTGGTTCTAGCTTGCTTTCACCTCCAGAGAAGCCTATGTATTTTGTTTAGATTTTATTGTAAAGTATTTGGGGAATAAAATATCTATATTATTTATAGCAGTTGTCAAGCCTGGTAACAAAGCAAAAGTCCCCGAACCAAACATGCCCATTTTTGTGCTGCTTCCTGTGGGCTCCTGTCTGCCTCACCCTGTTGCCTTCCTGGGGAAGTGACCCCTGCCTTGATGGTATTTGTCATCCCCCTTTGAGAGGAGTTTTTAACAACTATGTCTGAATCTCTAAATGCCTGTTTTGAACTTTATAAAGAGATGGAATCATAGCCTTTTGAGCTTCATTTAAATGCTACATATTGTCCCAGAAGATAGAAAACAGATCTGTGCCCTTGAAACTTGGATTTTGCTGGTGCATGTAAGTACTGTTTTCTCGGTGGCAGTCAGTGAGAGAGCTAGATGTATCCACTGATTGCTGTCAGGGGCTGAGCAGGGGAAAGGGTGCTGCAGCCCAGCCAAGGAGGTGATAGAGAAGTTAAAGTCACAGGGCTCCTGGTCAAGGTAGGGTCACCTCAGGAATAGATGTCTGGGAATCTGGAGGCAGGTAGACTAGGCTCTGACTACAGCAATAGGCTGAGGTGAACAAGAAGACTGAGAGCAAGAGAGCTGACTGTGGAGCTCAGAGAGAGGACTTAGAGTAGATGTGGAAGAAGGATGGGGCAGGATGAGCAGGGCAAAGTCAGATCTGTAGCACCTGCATTCCTTGTGGAGGCAGGTTGGGAGCCTCCTAGTGGGAAAAATGGAATTTAGAGCAGCAGAATGAATACTGCCACCCTTCCTTCTTGCCTTTATCATTTAAAAGGCTATTTACTGAACATCTATTATGTGCCAGAGCTAGCTGTGTAATATATCATGCTGGGGATAAGACCGTGGCACAAGCTTTTCCTGATGCAGTGTATTTCATCATGTAGCAGGAAGTCAGCCACTTCCTAGGTTTTGCTCAGTTCTGCTGCAGTAACAAATGATCCCCAATCATCACTGGCTTAAGACAGAAGTTTATTTCCCTATCCATGTTGCATGATTGCTGTGGGTTCGCTTTAGCTCTGTCCCATGTCCTCTGACTTCTGGGTTTTAGGCAAGAGCAAACATCATTTTCTGGCTCACATCACTTACATGGAAAAGAGCAAGTGAGGTGATGAAACTAGACAGTGGTTCTTGAAGTATCTGCTTAAACTTGGCTTCATCACTTCTGTTGACGATCCACCCAGGAGAGCATGTCACATAGTCAGAGCTGGTACCCTGGGAAGGAGAAATCAAGCCTTCAATAGGGAGGTTCCCTACTAAAAGACAAAGAGCTATGAGCAGAAGCGTAGATTCTTCCAGGAGTGCAGAGGTGATTTGGGAAATGCATTACCATCTATCATAGATATAAGCCTGCAGTTACAGTAAAGAGTATGATAAGGCTTTCTGATAAATAAATGTAATAATTTTAACGTATAAAATCAATTTATACACAAAAACATATTTTCTCCCTAAATTAGAGATCCCATTGAGAACATGGTTTGAAATCCACTAGCCTGAGACAAATGTTTATTCCAGAGAGCTAACACAGGGGCCAGCTGCTATGGTCCTCACTCTGGTCCCAGGCGTGGACACATATGCTGTGCTGTCTGAAAAGAAGCTTCTTACACTAGTGGCTCACCTGTCACTTGTGGCATTCCTCTCCACTCACCTGCAATCCATGTGGGTTGTCTGTAGCAGACCCATACCTATGGGCCTCTTCGGTGCTCTGTGCCTGCAGACATTCTGTCTCACCTCATGGTCATGTCCACATGGCTTTAGAAGGACATGCTCCTTTTTTTCTTCATCACTAAGTCTGTTGATGTTAGAGGCTTGGGCCTTAGCTTCTTTTTATATAGTCCCCATAGACCTGCTACCCCATGGGGCACATTCTGGACACTTCACAAGCATGTACGAAATGGGGTTTTGCATCAAGAGAAAACCAGCACTCTGTAGGCTTGCTCTGTCACTCTCTCCCTGCGAGGGTAGCCAGTGGCTGGATGGGTGACAGTTGGAGTTACGCAGAGTGCCTCCAGTGCATTAGAAACAGGTTTAAAACACTCTCTTCGGGGTTTGTAATCAGTATGCTGACTGAATAGCCAGTCCTCTCACAAGGAGCCAGTATTCATCTGCACTCGTGTGTGTTGCTTTGCAAATGCTGGGGGCCTTTTCTTTTTCCCCAAAGCTATGCATTTGTGTTTTCCAAGGGCAAGGACTGTATCTCCTCTTTTCTTTCTTTTAAAAGATCCCCCATGGCACTTGATAAGAGCTGCATGCACGGTGGGTGCTCAGTAAATTTCACCTATCTCTTCTTCCTTTGAACTTCCACCAGATACTCACATGGTGTTGGGTGTGGGACTTTACAGAGGACTGATTACACTGGGCTTTTGATCCGGAAAATTTTACAGGCAAAAAAGAGCAGGTTTTCCAGCGGCTCAGATCTAGACCAATAGCAAAGATGCCTAATTAGCCACGCCCAGGATACGACACTTGGAATGTCTGTGCTCTGAGATGGCCACATGATGAGAAGTGTCCTGGGACCCTTGAGGGCTTAGCCTTGCAGTCAGACATGACTTTTCATGAAGGTAATGACCTTTCACATGTTATTCAACTTCTCTGAGTCTCAATTTCCTCTTCCATAATGTGGGAATAATAAAAATGCTGGTACCTGGTTGGATGTGTTGCAACTATAAATACCATTCCTCTCTCCTGCATCTGTTGAGACCTAAAAGTAAAGAGCCAGGAAGAAACTAAGCAAAATATGACTATTGCTGATGGGGGAGTGGCAGGAGAATACAGCTAGTGGGATTCTAATATTGAATCCCAGAATTAGGTAGATGATAGTTAACTGAGTTACTGGTTGGTTAGACAACCACAGGCATCCTCCAACCAGGGAGTGATCAAAACTCAGGTTTTAAGCAACGGAAGCAAAAATATTCATTTCACATTGGTCCCAAGAAGAAGGGGCCAAGCCTCAGATATCCAAACTTACAGAAGAGACTGTCACTCTTCCCCAGCAAGAGGGGTGAGCAAGCTGTGAGGTGTGTTCTACACGCAGAGCCTTCCATATGTGGGAGGAAGTGTGGGGAAGATGCCTTCAGTGCTGAGGTGGGAGGGCTTCCTGGACCATATGGGACTCTGCAGGTGTAATGTTTCATATTAATAATCTTATTTTATAAATAGTGACAGTTCAGTTTGTCATTTATTAAAATAAGCCTTCCAGTGCTTACATGGTGTTTTAGAAGTTATCCTGTGCATTTGGAAAAAAAAAACAAACATGAAAGTCCTTTTCTTACTTAGTATTCTGTAATTCAGACCTTTAACCGAGATGACTTCATTCTGTCTTGCTCCCCTGAAACAAAGGGCACTGGCTGTTTTCCTGGGAACTGAGCAGGCATTTCTGGTGACTGCATTTTCATGGCCTCCTCTGTCTCTCTCTCCTGTAGTGCAAGTTGGAGTTCCATGCTTGTTCTACTAGCAAAAGCCTCACCAGCCTCTGTGATGGGCCTTGTCCATGTCTCCCGGAGCCTGAGCCACCAAAACACAAGGCAGAAAAGAATGGTGAGTGGGGATCTTGGGGAACTCCCTGCAGGGGATATGGGCAGTCAGGGCAGGCTGGTGCGGTCCAGCTTGTCCCCGCTACCAGGAACCTGTCATTCAACAGAGCTGTTGGGGCCCAAGCTGGAGAAATGGGCTGACTTGGTAAGTAGGTCCTCCAGCCTGTTCAGCAACCCTAAACCGAATTGTCTTCAACTGCCACTAAAGAGAAAAAGAAGAATTGAGAGTCTCTGAAAATAATTCTGTTTAGATCAAGATATGTACTGGGTTCCTTTGGAGGTCAAATTGGGCATGATGTGGGCGAGGCAGATTTTTCAGTATCTAAGACCAGGGCCTGCCCTGGATTCTATATTATAGTCTTTTTTGAACTGTAATCTCTCAAATCCTTTGAACTTCTCAAGGCCAAATATCAAAACAGAAACCACAGAGATGTCACAACAGTGGAGAGTATTCTCCCATAAAGCATTTCATTATTAATATATTCTTCTTGGAGTGCGGCACAGAGCTAGGGGGCAGATGAAAGAGAATACCTCCTTAGGGGCTGCTGTTTACCCTTTGTGGCTGAGAGGAGCAAGAAAGGTTGGACTTCTTTGCATGTTTTCATGATGTGGAAAGTTACATCATCCCATCGGCCTCAGCCCTTTTCTAAGCTTTCCTTAATGAGACCTGAGAAGGAAGCTTGAATTTGCCTTCTGTGGAGCTGAACTTTCTCAGCTATATCTGGCTGTTCTATGTGTGCCTGTGTGTAAGTGGGTGTGCCTGTGAGTGTCCACTCATGTATTCTAAAGACAGAAACCATTTGAAATGGAGGAGACCGAACCAGGTGAGAGGGATCAGCCTTTGCTTCTTTATAAGCTGTCTTTTCCATGGCAAATAGATAAAGGGTTCAAGTCTAAATTTGTCCGTGGTAACTTCAGGAAGATTATGTGTAAAGGCTCTTTGGGAGGTTGAACTCAGGATGTGAAAGATGGTATCAATCATAAAGCACTGGGACCACAACTCATTTCCAAAGGTTATTCTTGATTTCCAAAAAGCTGGTTTCATTGCTTTTCATGGTTGCTGCAAGAAAAGTTAATGGACGTAAGCCTCCTTGTAATCTGGTCAGAAAATCTAAAGCTGTGGGGTTAATAAGTATCTACGTATTCAGAAAATTAACTTTTCCATCTGGAAATTTCTCAAGAATCTTCTTAGGAAAATTCAGTAACTTCTACTATTCCAGGCATTTTGTTTGTTGCTTTTATTTGCTCTTCCTTCTGAAGCTGGGGAGCAAACCACAAAGGCCATCTCTGCTTTTTGCTTGTAGTTATCTATAGATTAGGGTGAAGGCCTCGCTCTTAAGGACCTGCAGATCTGCGAAGGTTGCCTCACTTGCCATAACAATTTAAGATGGACCATTTTCAGGGGGGAGATTTTTAGTTTCTCAAATGAAGAACAACCTTTGTTTCTCACTATTGGTCCTCATACCTGACTATATGAGATATACTCTTAAATAGGACACACCAGGTATGACCTTGCCATGTTCTCTCTGTTTGTGCAACCAATTTACTTGCAAAAATTAAAAAGATTCTTATTTAACCTATGTAAATAAGCACATTGCCATTAAGCATAAAGAGACTTAGGGAGAGCATTGATCCTGATTTCCGAAAGGTCATGAGAACAAGATTACTGTTTAAAAATGTTTCGAGACATTTGCAAAAGTGTAGATTATGAAGTTAAAAGTAAAAGACAGTTCAGAAGAATAAGAAGGAACTTCATCATATCAGAAAAAAATGAATGTTAACTCATACCAGCACTATTCCAAAACAACCAAGATTTTATCTCCTCCTCAGTTGCTTGGGTCCTATATAATTATTTCCCATTGGGTTCTGAGAATGTCCTTCTTTGTTAAAAATCTGATTTCTGGGCTACAATTTATAGCAGCATTTTCACATAAGCATGAGGGGAAGCAGAAAGCACCTGTTGAAGGTAAAACTTCATGGCCATAGTTAACTTACTACAGTGTCCAATGGTATCCTAATGGAGGAAAGCAGAATCCCCTATAGGAGATAATGATGTTCAATATTTCACATGGATTTGATCCAAGTTTCCCTGGAGGATGAGGATATATCATGGCGATGAGGGCATTGACCATCCCCAGGGTCATCATGTGAAATGAAACCTTTAAATTAGTAACATTTTAACTTGACAAATTTGATCAAGGAAAGGCCAACCTTTTCCTTTGATCTGACCCTTCTTTCCACACAGCTCTCACAGTTATTTATGAGAGTCAGTGAGGGCTGGGCTGAGGTTGGGCAGTCAGAATAACAGAGAAGGGCTGGAGGAAAGTGAGAGCTCAGAAGTGACATAAAAGGCAGCTTTCTGTTGATGTGTCAGCTGTGGGGCGGAGGGAGGCGGGAGGAAGCACAGAGCAGGAAGCCCAGTCCCCTTACCTGTCAGTAGCCCTTCCAGAAGCTGAAAGCTGTGGGCAGGCTGTCCATGACAGTTTCTGCCTCTGTGAGACACATCCATCGTGGCTTTGGACTGTGTCAGGAGCTCTCTTGTTTCTAGCCTGTTGCAGAAAAGATATTTCATAGATTCGCAAATGCATGTCAGTCAAAAACGTGGCAATAGTTGTGCTTTTGCTCTTGTTTTCAATGTTGCCTCTGTTTTGAACCTCAGTTCCATCTGGTCATGAAAAAACTCATGGAGCTACTTGTAGGCAGATTCTGTTAATTCAGAATTCTATCTGAGCTCCAGGAAGTAGGGGTGAGGTGAAGATTTATGAGCTGTGACATTGGTGGGAGACCTTTCTGGATGGTGTCTGTTACTCTTTGGCATCTAGCTGCCTATGCTGAGTTCTTGACATTTTTGTTTAGTTGGCTACCAGTGTTTATTCTCACCAGTGTCCAGTAAGAGATGTTAGACATTTTAGCCATGATCTCAGCACACCATGCCCATTAAGATCACAGAGAGTCCTCTTTCTGCTATGTCAGCCTCTTTTGGATTACTAGCTCTTTCACACCCATTAATGGCTCCCTTCAAGGGCACAGAAAGCTTGAGGATGCCCTTCTGTGATTCCATGGCCTCAAGAAAGATTGGAGTCTCAAAGCTGCTTCAAGATTCCCCATAAATACCTGGGAAGGTGACATACCTGGGGCCTCAGCCCTCCCTCAGCATAACCTCATTTTATACTTTACTTCATGGATCTACCTGTAGCCATTCCTGTCCTGCCTTTAACTGGTTTTCAGATTGGTAGCAAAACACAGGTCCTCTGTACTACCAAAGGGCCTCTCCCCTTGTCTTGCTTTTCAGGAAATCCTCTTCCCAATCCAGGACCCAGAATTGGGTAAGAGATTGCAAGAACTATGGTGAGCACAAGTTTTCCTGTGAATTCACTTGCCTTTACCTGATCTTCCCAGCTCCTAGCTCCAAAGTTGACCAGTACTGGAGTCGGATGTGGAGAGTGTGTGAGGGCAGGGTTTAACTCACTCGCTCTTCATGTCAAAGTGTTTTGCTTCTTTTAGCCTTTGGTCCTCTGAATTAATATACGCCCAATTCTTGCAAATCAGTTCTTTTGTCTCTATTGTTTCAGCAGAATTTTTTTTTAAGTCAAAACCAAGTGGTTGATTTTTGTTTGTTTTTCTGGATCTTTCCTTTGAAATGTCTTCCCAAGAGCTGTTGGTGGGTGGGGTCATACTTTAATACCCCTGAATCTTTCCTATCACCCTTCTCAATTACCTTATAACCTTGGGCACGTTGCTTAATTACTTTATCACTTTGATCTTATAAAGCCTGTACAGCCTCTAGAAAATAAAGTAATGATTATCTAAACAAAACAGAATAGAGCACATGCTTAGCATGTGTGAAGCTCTTGGTTCAGCCTCCAGCATGGATGAGCAGAAGGAAGGAAGGATGGAAGGAATTAAAAAGGGAAAGGAAAGGAAGGAAAGAAGAGAGGGAGTAAGAGAAAAAGAGGGGAAAAAAAGGCAAAATGGAACTATATGTATTGAATACATTAAGCCTGAGTTTTTCAGGAAAAATCTCTCCCAGTGGTATTTTCTAGTACCCAAGAGCCAGATCGGTCAGGAAGTTACTTCTTAGATGGAACCCTACTTCTTAGCTCCAGGGTATCGCTGCTATTTTCACTTCTATCCTCAGCAAAGGCCTTGAGGAAAGTCAGAGGTACTAGTTTCTTGATTCTTTACAGTGGTGAAAAAAAAGTCTAAGAAAGAAAAAATAGAGGTCTCTTAAAATGAGAGGCTCTAAAGGTGCATTTGTCAACTAACACTTATCTAGACCTGAGCATCTCCCTCTCCTGCCTCACCTCCCCACTTTTCAGAAGTCAGACCATTACCCTCTTGGTCTGAGCTTGGCAGCCTTGTTCTTGGGCACCATGGAGGTGCCATCTCATGAGTTACTCCTCTTCTAAGGAGGGATTTGGAGCTTCCTCAGGCTGAGGTGAGAACCTTGCAGAGAAGTAGAATTTCAATTTGGGAAGGGTTTCATTTGTTTTCCACAATACCATGTCAAGAGGAACCCTCTGTTCCTCAAAGCTGCTTCAAGAATCCCCATAAATACCTGGGAAGGCTGCATGCCTGGGGCCTCAGCCCTCCCTCAGCATGACCCCATTTTATGCTTTACCATACTAAATTACATCTGTAGCAGAGTTTAACCACCAGTGATCCTTATTCAATCTCCATATACCAAAAGAGAACACTGGAGAGCTGAGAGAGAGAGAGAGAGAGAGAGAGAGAGAGAGAGAGAGAGAGAGAGAGAGAGGGAGACACTTGCCTAGGGTCAGACATTGGGCCATTTGTCTCCAGGTCAGGCACAGTTGTTGCTACTATTTTATATACAACCTCAAGTCACAGCTGAGTTCTCAGCCTGAAGATGATTAAAAGGTCTATATAGTGGAAGTTAAATTTAATTTCTCCTGGGCCTGAAATCTCTTGCCTGAAACTTTTAATGTCAACCAGAAGTAGAAAATGTCATTGTCTTCCTGCAACCAGCAAGGTTTTGAATGG